ACAAGCAGTCATAAATATAACAGTAATATTAATAATGATGATGATGATTACAATAATAATAATAATAATAACAACAATAATAATAATACAGTCACACTCTGCAATAAGTTCTATGAAATAATAAGTTGTGCAGAATTAGTACTGGGTAACATCATATAGCAAAGCTATGAAGAATATTTATTACTGATGACACCCAAGTCTTGAGGGTTACCCAAAACATACATGTATTTACTTATGTACCTACTTTACTATACATTCCACTGCTACATTGAGGAAATAATTTTCTCTTGTAGTTTTGTTTACCACTTATGGTGCAGGGGAAAAAAAAAAAAAAAAAAAAAAAAAAAAAAAAATATATATATATATATATATATATATTATATATATATATATATATAAATAATATTATATATATATATATATTATTATATATATTATATATATTATATATTATATCTATATATATATTCATATATATATATATATATATATATATATATATATATATATACATATATATACATACATACATACATACATACATACATACAAACATACATACAAACATACATACAAACATACATACATACATACATACATACATACACATACACACCACACACACACACACAACACACACACACACACACACACACACACACACACACACACACACACACACACACACACACACACACACACACACACACAAGAATTAATAATAACAGTAGTAATAACAATATGAAGATGCCTTAACCCCTTGGATCCAGATGATGTTGCGATCACATCAAGGAAAAAGGAAAAATTGGGCAGCCACCCAAGGGTGATTTGACTCATTTGGCGCTTAGAAGGGGGCTTTAGCATTATTCCCATCGATAAACGAATGTGGAATGTAACGTGCATAAGCTGTGCCTGGAAGAGCGCTGGCTCCAGGGAGGACGCCATTTCCATGCTGCGCACCGTATTCATGGCCACTGTGACCGGCAGCGCAGGTTGTATTACATAAAATTGAAAATTTTAAAAATGAGATATGAGACACGAATAGCCAAATGTTCCATATTTTTTTTTTCTTGAACTGAGCAATTTACTACATATAGATGATATGGAGTCTATGCAAGGAAAATAAGTAATTACCATCTGGATAAAGCAAATCAAAAGACAATATCTTTTTTTCTAAAACTCAAAGGTGATTAAGTATTGTGGACTCATTTCAGTGCACACACAGTTAATAAACTAAAATCACAGTGGAAATGGCACAAATGTATATACAATCTAGGTATCAAAGGGTTGACATTAAAAATAACAAATGATGACTACTTTTATAATTTCCTTTAAGTCAAGAAACTCCTTGATTATAAGTCTCTCAATTATAGTAGGAAATATGTACTGAAACATACATTTACTTTATTAGTGAGTTGGGTACGGAAAAGGATTATTAGCATTTAGGTAATTCTTTACAATACAGACACACTCACCAGAGACTAAGTTCCCATCTCCATGTCACAGACTTTATTCAACAATCTAAATTGCCATGAAAGGGCATTTGGGCCCAAGGGGATGAGCCCCACCTCTCTACAAACACTGTCTTCACCTCGGTATGCATAGTGAGACAGAGCTAAAGCTTGAAAGCACCAAGCAGACTCAGGCTGTGAGCAAAATTTTCCACCATTTTTCCTTCATTTGTGACACTACAGTTTGAGTCTGCACATTACTTCTTGTACTGTTAACTGCAACTTTTTGTCCTATACAAGAATATCACCTTCAATTTGCCTAAGCTTACTGGTGTCCATACTCCATACCATAAAGATTAACCAGCATTTAAATAAAATTGATTATTGTTCATAAAACACATCCATATCTGTCCAATCATTTGCTCTTTTATTTTCAAATCTACTTGCTAGATACTTAAATACAAAACAATGGATAATTTATTTTTACTTAAATTACTGACTTAAAAAATAAAACAATACTACTGCATATGGTCTGATACAAATGGACTACATTAGCTAGGAAGTAATTGCAACCAGTAGAGTGTCTGCGGTTTGGGATTATTATTATTATTTATTATTTTTTTTTTTTCATACACTGATCTTTTTCTAGTTTAAGCCTGACCAAATCTTGGTTTGGATTTTCCGATTTTCCACTTTTTTACTTTCCAAAATGCCTAATACAAGTAAATTTGCTCATATCCCCCCTCACCCCCCTCCCCATTACTTATGACATCCCCTAAAGTTGTTGGCTTCAATTGGGGAAATGGTTTCTGATGGGCATGGTCCTCTTATAAACATCTCTATAGTACACAGGATGTAAGAGTAAAAGCATAATCTTCAAAATTTGCAGACTAATCCTCATGCAACCAAGTCCACAAGCTATGTTCCAGTGCTCCTAGCCAAGGTAAAACCTAAATGCACAACTGTAATCTCTGCACAGAAATAACCTCGGCATGTAAATAAGTACCTTCTTTGACAATGATTTAGTTCTAACCATCAACTATTTTTTTAGGCAGATAATGATTCTTTTTTTTTTTTTTTTTGCTTGTTGTCATGGATTTTATCAGCATTAATGGCTGATGTTGTTGAGTGGTGGTGTCGGATATCACTGTTTTTAACTTATTAAATATCGTAATCACAGGAAAGTGTTGCAATGACACATACATGTTAGCAGTAAATTTGTACCCTAATAAGTAGTTCCATAGAAATCAATGATAACCTGCAACTCCTTGAATGTTCCTGTACATCTCAGATTGAGATAATGAATATTAATTTAGTTGATAACCAATTAAATCTATGTAGAATGCTTACTGCTCAGGGCTTAAGAATTTTTTACTTTTGGAGACAGTTTATAGCTAGTTTTCATATCACAAAGTTAAGTGTGCTTACTGTACAGGTTCTAATATGGAATATACATTAATGATACACCTAGGAAACCAGTCCAGCCAAAATCCTGCCTAAATACATGTGGATGTTTGCAGACCTTTTTGCTATAAACTAAGTGGTGTGAGGAGGAGCACTGCTGTTGTGCACGCAGCAGTTGCACCATTAGTGCGATTAAAGAATACTTAACTAGTAAGTTCAATTCAAATAAAAAATTACATTTAGCAGAAATCAAAAATGTTTCATAAAATTTCTCTGAACCCTAAAACCCTTACTTCCCACGGGTTCCCCGTGGCCTATTGGAAAAGAGGGGGCTGCAATCTCCGACTACAAATAAACTAGACTTTAAGATTAATGCAATCTCATAAACCACACGAGAAATTCTGAAATCCAAGATGTAAAAAAATGTGTTTTTATTCCTTGATGAAACTGTGAGAGCCTAGTTTTCCATTTTTTATACTATAGTCAAGTTACAGTATTATTCAAATCATAAAATGCTTGGAAAGTACCTCTGAAATGTTAATACTCCCCAGTAAGAGCACTATCACTCTCCATACCCACTAGCTTAAGGATTTAAGCCATCAGTTCATGAATCTGACATGTTACACATTCAACCTCCTACCTTCTCTATAAGATCTTGGATTTATCAATGACTATTTGGGTTTCCTTTGACAGGAAAAGATTAAACTTTAGTATAACTATAATAAAAATAATTATATTAGCTGTATTAATAATAATAATAATAATAATAATAATAATAATAATAATAATAATAATAATAATGATAATGATAATGATAATGATAATGATAATGATAACGATGATGATGATAATGATGATGATAATGATGATGATAATGATGATGATAATAATGATGATAATGATGATGATGATGATGATAATGATGATAACAAACATAAACCAATAACAACAACAACAACAATAATAATAATAGAAATAGAGGAAATAATATAAAAAGACAATACACATATTTACAAGTTTACTTCAATTGACATTTACCTAAAACTGTCATCAGTACACATTATCAGATTTTTCCTTATCAAACCTACGTTAACAAGTAAGAATAAAGCATACATGACTGAGTCTATCTGCAGTTTATCCATTCAAATAATAATTCATAAAGACAACACAAGCCAAGGTCAGTCCAGAAATACCTGCATGGGGAAGTGGGAATGGGAGGTGAAGAGGACACCCATCCCCGACAAAAAGGACTTCCTCTCACTAGACAAGGTAGCCGAAGATACATTTACCAAGAATCTACTTTTAAAATTCCCTTTTCTTTTACCAGTTATACATATATTCCTTTTGAACTAGAGGTAAACAACTAGAAATTACTTCACGTCAGTCATAATAGTAATTTTTTTTTCAACTCTGCAAATATTTAGTGAATACAAGGGTGTGAACTGAGCAAATCTAGAAGACATTATTCCTGAGTTACCAACGGCCAAAAAATAATCCTGCTACAGACATATAAAAAGTGCTAGAAAATAATGCATGCAGTGTGCCATGAGCACAGACATGCAATCATTCTGCCTTCTTTCCATTCATGGAGTTAATACTCTTATCCTAAAATAATGAATAAAAAAATTGAAATCAATTGACTATCAAAATAAATAAAACCCATTAAACCAGACTAAAAGCTTAAATGACTTGTTTTTTTTCTCAATTCTTTGATTTATCAACTTCTCTTTCCTTCCTTCCCTCCACTATCACACACATGCCTCCTCCTCGACAACCTCTTTCCTCCCTTCCACGTGCGAGGCTGGAGAATAAAACTAAGAAACCAGTAAGAGTGAAAATAACAAACTAAGAAAAAAGTAGAAAAAAAACATCATGTAAAAATTTTTGTTTACGTTTTCGTGTCCATCAGCTGGACTGAACTCATCCCCCCGGAGCCAAAAAAACTCAATTTCCCTGTCTAATATATATTTCACACCCACTCCCTCTTCCCAAAAGGGGTCGTAGGTTGTCCCTCTTTCCTTTTCTCCCCTTTTGGGTGCGGGAATCAGGTTCAAACGCTTATGGATACCTTATAATACGCCCCGTGAGGACCGAGGACTTCTACATTGAGCTCGTCCATCTTGAGTTGCAGGGAATGCTGGGAAG